AAAGTGTATGGGGGAGTGTGTTATCAGTTTGAAGCCATTTGACTATCAAATTTGGACCCATATTTGATTTTCAACCTTTATTTCCTCTCTACTCAACACTAACCCTTATTCCAGCCAAACATCTCTTAGCTTTCAAAGACCCATACCCCTTCAGTTTCACTTCCTTTGAGTTTTACTTCCTCGGGGAAGCCTTACTGGTTCCCTCTGCCAATCTAACAGTGGTCTTTTCTGATCTGAACTTTCATAGGTGATCAAATCAAAACAAATAAGTTAACTACTTACAAAGTAGAACCTTGGTTGGTACTTGCCTTCTTATGTTTAAATATCCCCAACTAATTTTTCATGTCTTCATGAGCAATGGCCATGTCTTACAGTCTTTGTGCCCCAGAGCACCTCACACCTAGATGTGTCTTCATTCATTTATCGAGCAATATTGAATACAATGTGTGGGTCAAGTCTTGTTTTAGATTCTAGAAATACAAAGACAAATGAGCTGCTTGCTCTCTATTATAAACAATTTCATGAGGGAGGCAGACACATAGTTGAGTGAGAAAACACGAGTAGAAGTATGTCCCTCTTGAAACAAATTCAGATTTCTTTGTCAGTTGATTTCATTCCTTACCCCATGAATTGAAACAAAGCTATTGTTTTTAACAAAATTTGTTCATGGTTAGAAAATTTTTAAGTGCAGATTTTCAGTGAAAATTAGTAAGCAAGAATCATTTAAATTATGAAAAACAGTTCTCCTTATTGTTTCTATATATTGAATTGACCTTAGGTGAGTTCCCCATATCTCCCCCCAATACAGCCTACCATGACTGCTATTTCCCAGCTCTTGCTGTGGTACTTAACCCTGCTTGGTTATTAATACATACATATTCCAAATAATAAAGTTTTCTTTTGCTTAATGTCTCTGTTCTACATCAAAACCACAGCCATCAGTAATAGTGTCAAAAAAAAAAATTCTGTTCCCTCAGTGATTTTTTTCCAGATTGTCAGAAATCTTTCAAAGAATCCTCCTTCTATTAAGAGGCTAAGAATGTGTAAAGCCAGGACATTATTGATAGCATCCTAAGTCAGCAGCAAAATCGTTTTCCTTTACATTGCAATGAATAATCAGTTTTTTGTTGAGATTTTTTTTTTCCCTGTGGAAAGATGATTTTGCTGTTTCCTCAGTGTGAAAATAATCCCTAGTGTATATACCATGACACTTTCCCACTTGGTGGTAACTTTAACATTTAAAACCAGTGGGGATTTTCCACTAATTGGATGGCTATTTCCTTTCAAAATTCTTAGTTTAAAAAGTCCAAGCAATTAGCATTGCTTGATACAGAACTCAAGATGTAAGTGAATGAATGATGTTTTTCAATCACAGCTGATATATAATGACCTTATTCAATTCTATTTTTATGTTGTTGTTTTATTTACATCCCTGTCTCTGGGGAGGTTAAAATGACCTTTTTTTCAATGCAGGATAAGACCAGATTGACGGCTGCATGCTGTACTCTTTTTAAGTGATGGAAAAGGTGAAAGTTTTCTGAATCCAATAAGATTTATGCATCCAGGAAAGGTGATTTCCACAGTGAAGTTGGTTACCCTATACTCTATATGAAGAGCTGCGAATACTTCTAGAATGTAGCTAATTCCAGGATAACTATTTTGACTCAGTGGGCCTTTACCTGAGATTTGTTTGATGTTTGAGACTGAGAAGTGTCCTAGAGATTCTGTTGCTATGAGGGATGATTGAATTCCTCTTTAGAAAGAAAATCTCTATACTATTCAGTTTGCAAAATCTCCTGCCATTGACCACTGTCCTGCTAATGGTTGTGTTGGGGGAACTGGTAGATAAAAAGCAGGAGGGTAGTCAGGTCCTGGGGAGACCTGGTTTATCATTTCAATGTACTGCAGAAGTTGAGGTTTGGTCTGTGGATGAATGTGCTTAAAGAAGCTGGAGGCCATGTGCAATTATCTGCAAATGCTTTGAAGATAATATTCTGAGACATGAATTGCTATTTGCATAAAAAAACTCCTGTATTAAAGAATCTCGAAGATGCATTAAGCACTTATTTTATCTCTAGCTGCTAATAGCTTGTATTATGCAATTCTGGAATGGAACGATATTATTAGGTCAAAGCACAAATGTATTAGTGCTAGTCCTCTACCACAACAACCACCTTATCTTGTGGAATTAGCAAAAAGCACAGTGACTTTCGGAGCGGCCTTTCTGTTCTTTAGTCTGACTCCTTTTCTTGTCATATTCCTTTTGTAATTCCCCAATGAGTAACAATTACAGTGACAGTAACAAAATACCTCTCAATGGTCAGCATTCTCTTGCTAACAAATTCTGGGCAGAAGATAGGAGAGACAAAAATTTGGGACAGTCTTGTTTTCTGTTTGAACTAGAATTGGCTTGTAAATGAATATACATGCCTAGTTTCCCTCTGGGGAGTTCAGGTGGTGTCCAGAAGAGTCAACATGGATGAGACAGAACTAAAATAGTAATTTAAGAAAGAAGGTGACCTGGCCTGATAAATGTCCTTTTCTCCCTTCTAAAGAAAAATGCTCCCACTCAGTAGGCACATATCCCACTATATCCTTATAAAGAGGAGATGGTCAGTCATGCAGTCGCATGGAAGCTATTGGTCCAAAGAATGTCTTACAGTCTGGAGACAGGGCTGGAGTCCCAGTGAATAGCTGTGTTGACTTGAGCCTCTCATACTGCATTTCTAAGTCTTATCTGTAAAATAGGAATCATATTATCTTAAGATTTTTTACTAAAGTAAATTTAGCTTACATCTAAAAATGCTTACCATTGTACTTGGATGGGCTAGTAATCAATGACTATTCATTGAATCAGATCCTTTCTATGAATGAAATGAGATGTTAGTAGAGGAAAAAACCACACATGTCAGAACATTCACAGGACTGTTTTGCTCTTCAAAGTTCACTCTAGAAAATGTTGTGCACATTGAAGCGATACTTGCCTTGATACACAGATGTCTCTGTACAGCCATACCCATCTACCTATCTATCATCTGTCTACCTACCTGCCTGTTTATCCACGTGAAAACTGTAATGAGCACAAATATTTTATAAGGAGGGATTTGCTTTTTGAAAATCTTACTTGGTACTAGGTGAAAGACTACACCCCCAGGTAATAAGGTTTTTTAGTCAAAAATACTATGTTGCCTAAAAATATGAAACCGAATATATGTATGTATGTGCATGACTGGAACTGTGCTGTACACCAGAAATGGACACACTGTAATTGACTACTTCAATAAAAAGTAAAAACATTTCTAAAAATCTATGATTTAAAAAAATGCTGTTACCAAAAATAGAGACCATTGTCTGTAGAACTCATATGTCTGAATATAGCTCCAAAAAAAGATTGTAATACCAGTTACAGCAAAGCTATTGCAGTGGAGTAAGTACATAGCTTCCATGTAGGGATGCATTTGAAAGGAAGTAAGATGTCATTGACTGTAAAAGGCTCTGTTATGTATGTTTATAATATATAATCTATATACCAGGTTATATGAACAGTCCTTGAAAAAACTTTTGTGAGGCTGGTCTAAGGACAAAAAGATTGGTATTTGCACACTTAGATCCATGGAGGTATTTGGTTTCTATTAAGCACTTCCTGGTAGTAGATGATTTTGAGGGCATGATGGTCTCTATCTTACAGGAAACAGCTGTAAAGCCACATTGTCATTTTGATGTTTTTTTGAAGTGCACAATTATAGACTCTTTCTCTAGCTTTCAGTAACATGTCAAAATGAATCCCATGAGGGAAAGGAACGTGATGTCCTAACTCAGGATTCTGTGAAATCTGAGTTGATGATAATAATAAAAAAAATCTAGCTTTGTCACTCCTGGCCATGCGTCTCCAAGCAAGTTTCTTAAATTCTCTGTTCATTTTCTACAAATCCGGAAGTTAAACAATACTAGTTCTTGCCTCAAAGAGTTATTTGAAAAAACAGAATGAGTTTATACACCTAAGATACTTTGGTACTTAGCACGTGAGAAGAACTCATATTAGCTATTATTATGGTTTTAGGTAGATACATACAGAGGTGGTTCATTTACATTTATCTTTGTTGTTGTTAATTATGTCCCTGGTGCATCAGTATTTAGATATTTCCTGTGCTTTGAGACAGGAATATTCATGCTAAAACGTGCACACTGAAGTGTACAGGGGCAAAATTCTTCAGGGTAGTAAACAGGGATGGTGTTTGCTGCTCTATTTATGGTTCTTTTAACTGTCAGTTGCCTGGGTGATCGTTGGCAAAATCCCAGCAGTAACTAGCACCGTTTTATCCTATAAAGAAAGAGCTACAACAGATACAGAAAGCTGACAATCATTAGATACTTCCTAGGGATACACCTCCAAGATAGTTTTCTTGAGTAGGATCTAAGAGATTGCTATCTCCATCCCCTGTTCTGTTGTCATATCTCTCTTAACACACTGTAGAGGAATTATTTATCAGCTCATCATAAGGAAAACAGTGAGTCTGCTTCTGTATCCAGTTATCTTGTACCTGGGAAAGAATTCATGGTTTATTGGTCGGGGGAGGGAGCTTCCATTTCCAAAAGGTGTTATTGAAGGCCATGAGGTTATATTTATCTTTTTCTATATCACATAATCTGCTTTAAGTCAAAGTTAATTAGTAGAGATGTGAGGAGATAATTGCCTTCATGATGAGGGTTTTAAACCTTTTGCTTTTCCTTTTGCAGGTAAGTGAACATGGCACTGGGCATTGCTCATTATGTGTCCCGTCTGGCTCTTACTCATGCTGCCATATGATGGACTAAAAGCAAAGCGATTAAAAAAGATACTGATATGCAGGTACCATGGATTCTATCGAACTGTGTGTTCTAAGAGAGATGGTAAGTGTCGTCTACTTTAACCTTACCCCGTGGTACCTAGCTGGGCAGCCCACTCCCTTTACCGGTCCTCCCAGCAAAAATGGCTTTATTGGTTTAGTAAGCGTCTCTAGTTGGCATGGCTTAAAGATTGAAGAATGGGCTTCACTTTCAGGCCTGCTGGATGTGGTTTTTTGGAGGGTGGTTCTTACTGGAAGTCATTTGGCATTGCTGGTGTTTTACGTGAGTCCGGGTCGCAGTGCATTCTATTTCATGTCTGGCCAGTTGGGAATGAAGCTGAGTATATTGTGATACTACAGTGATGGAGTCACCACGAGGTAGTCTTTGTAGGTCAGAGGAAAGAAACTCTAGGCTGAAAGAGCTTAAAGTCCCACCCAAAGTAAAACACGCTAAATTAGTAACTGCCTAAAGTCTTGAGCATTATTAGATCTCTTGTTTGAAATCACACTTTTAAATGAAAGAAGTGTAATTGGAGTTACCTTTTTAAATATTTGAAGAATGTATTTACCGTACTGTTCAAATATTAGATCTATATTTAGAAGGGAATTTAAAGCATTTTAAGCTAAATAGGAATGTGAATTCCTATTCTGTTCACTATTGAAAGGATGTACTCTGAAAGACTTTGAAAGTATTAAGCAGTTTTTTAATATTATAGGACTGTTATAGCTAAGTCCTTTAAATATTCCCATTGTTGTCAGTTTTCTAGGAGTTAACAGTATAGTGACATTTTTGTTTTTTCTTGAAACCAGTAATTCAGTTTACTAGCTGGCCATTCCTTTTTGTTGAGAAATACTTTTTTCACTCTGGTTACAAATTAGACCCAGAAAAGTTATACTTAAATATCAATCCTTGATGATTTTTTTGATTGTTCTTTTCATTTGTTATTGGAAAATGTACACTGCTTGAAAGTGTTTTTTTCTGATATACGTCAGGTTGACATACTTAGAAAATACCTGGGTTCATTGGTTTGTTAGAGCTTTGTTAGCCCATAGTGAGACCCCGAAATCAGGTGGCCCACCAAAGTGTGGGTCCTTGCCTGCCAGCTGGAAAGAATTCACAGCTGAAACAAAGGGATAGAGTGAAAACTATTCCTTCTCAAGAGGGAAAGGAAGGAAAGTGCTCAAGTGGGGAAAAGAAGCTGTCGGCCAAGTTGTCTGGCAGACACAGCTCTGGCCCGGGTCAGGCCACATGGACTTTTATGGGAGGCTTCTGTCCTCCCTCCAGGTGTGATGGAGCCAATCAGCCCTTGTTTGAGCTTTTCAGTCCTTGTGTGGGCTTTTCCGGTTGTCATGGCAATCGTCAACTGTCTTGGTGCTGGTGGGTGTGTCATTTAGCCTGTTAATAGATTACAATGAGCGTATAACGAGGTGAAAGGTCCACTGGAAGTCAAACCCGACACCATCCTGGACTGAGTTCTAACCAGTTCTCACTTCCTCTCTGCAGCTGCCTCCTGAGACTTAGACGAGAGTAACTGGTTTCTATTTGAGGGAGGGGCAGGGGTATGATCCTCAGGGAACGGCCATGGTAACAAAAAAGTAGCTTTTAATCAGAATGCCTGCAATCTAGTGGACCCAGCACCCCCCTACCCCTGGGCGAAAAACCGCCTCCAAAGATTCTGTTCAGCCATGAAAGTTTTAAAGGGAAATGGAGTAATCTCAGTTAATCACTGCGATAGGTTGTCAGAGTCGTTGCCATCCCCCCGGTGCCGGCAGCCTTGTCCTAATCAGCTGCTTGTGCCTGCTCTTCCATGACTCAGGGAGGCCTGGGAGCCTTCAGCTTTTCTACAAACTGGAGGCAGAGGTTGGGGCCCCCTCAGGGTCCTGCTCTTTATCAGCTTTGTCTAGAATAAAGAAATAGAAATAGTGTCATTATCTTTAGAAATTTTACTCTAGAGAGGCTCAGTGTTGCGCATTCCAAATGTAGACCTATTTCAGTTGTGTATTTTTCCTCAGGATATGTTAAGATGCTGTGTGTTTGAGGATGATTCTTTTAATTGTTAGGCTCTGTGACGCATTAGTCTTTGAGGATGATTACTTTAATAGAAAACAGATTCCCTCTCAAAGCACCAACTTTCGTACTCCTACCACTTTCTAACAGCCAATTTCTAATTGCTGGGTGGATGTATGAATAAATCTCGTTTTATAATGGTGGTCATTTTCCTCAGTGAAATGTTATCTATCATAGCTCACAAATGAGGAGCTATGATTTATAAATGGAATATTACTCTCACTAATTTATTTGAAACATGGCTACTTTCACTTTTAAAGGATAGGAAACATCCTTTAAAAAGGGATATAACTTTCAGAATGTTCAACTTTCAAAACGAGGCCTTGAACACTGGCCATGCCTTTCAGGCCTTTGAAACCTTTAGTTGATCTTCTGGATTCTGAAATCTTGTATGTTTGTAAGTTTTATGACTGGTTTATTTGTCAGAAATAAAAATCTTAGTCAACATTATGATTTGACCCAATAAACATCATGTTACCAGTTCTAATATCACAGATTTCTCTGGGGAACTCCTGGTCACGAGTTTTCTATTATGATTAGAAGCAGTTCTGTCTGCATCACTGAACTACTGAAATCCAGAGCCTTGGATCTCGGGGAAATCGGTTTCTTTAGACTCCTCTGAGAACCTTAAAGATCACTTACAAGCTTGGTAAATTGTGTTTTATGTTTGGAGTATATAGTTTATACCTTATCATCTTGTTAAGTCCTGTAAGATGCCCCAGCCATATCTTTCTCTTTAACAGAAGTTCACAAATAGCCCAAGTTGTTAATTTTGGGGTCGGTGTTGGGGGCGGCTTTCTAGAGCCACTTTGTAATTTCCTTGGGTGATGTTTTTTTTATTTGCGTGTGTGTCATTGCACAGTCCTTTAAATAGTGCCGATGGCAACCAGGCTGCCTTCGTTGTAAAAGCTGAATCATTTTGATGGCTTTTTAGGAGGACAGTGCCTTCCTGTATTAAAACAATGTCACTGGATGGGGAAGGAAATAGTTGGATTTGCGTGTTTTTCTATGTCAGGGAGCATTCTCATCAGTTTTATTGTTTACATTTGAAAACATGAAGTAATCACCCAGTCTCTTGTCTGCTCTGCTGTGCTCTTCCTAAGAAACGGATCTGGGGGGTTTCCTGTGAATATGAATGGTTAGTTAATTGCATGAGGAAACTTGATGCACTTGGCTGAAGAAGCGGGGTGTTTTTGAGGGCTGCCTGGACAAGTTTGAACCTACCTCAAACACTGATGACAGTGAAATATACCTTCACTGTGTAAGCCATGGTAGGTTACTTGATCTGTTTTGGATTATAATTTTTTTTGTCGTTGGAAAATATCAAGTTGAATTTCTATAAAATCAAGAGTTTTTTTCCCCTAAAACTTCTAACTCATTTCAGTTTACCAACATAGATACTGATTTTTGCCCCGTCCCCCGAAACTGGAAGATTGTGAATTAGTTGGAGTGTCCTGATCTTTTTTCCCCACGCCAACTGTACCACTATCCCCTCTGACGGATTTTGCATCATAAGTAACTGTACATAACACATGTCAAATAGCTATCAGTAAGTTCGGAAATGTCAATAAATCTGAGGCTTAACTCCTAATACTGACAAGGAACAACTTTTAATTGTATTTTTCTTGTAATTTTCCAAGAAGGATGGCTAATGCTTAATTTGAGCAATAATTAACCCTCATAAGTTAAATATTAAAGACAGACTAATGGAAAAGCTTAGTGGCAGAACAAGAAATGAATGTTGAACAAACTTTGATATAAACTTTTTTTAGTCTGCAGGTAAAACGTCAGCTCTTTCAAAAACGTAATTTGCTATGGCTACTTATAATTTTCAAAGATTAGGCTTGTTTCAATTCATGTTGATTTGAAACACTGTATAATAGTTTTTGTACATTTAGAATTCTAGACTCTGAAACTTAAAAAAATATTATACACAAGAGAAAATTACCTAAAATCCTATCATCCCGTTTTCAACAATTACCAACATTTTGCCATAATTACTGTCCTTTCTTTGCACGGGGGATGCTAAGGTGTTTTAAAACAAATTTTAGACATGTCATTCACTCTTAATTTACTTTGTGCTTGTCAAAAAAGGGGAACGTTTTCTTACCTAACTACAATAATATTATAACACATAGAAATTCCATACCCTTCTTAACCTCTAATACTTAGTCTGTGTTCAGACTTCCCATAAGGGCTCAGAAGTGACTTACTACAGATAGTTTGAATCAGGGTCCAAACCAGTTTCTACTAGTTGAATTTGGTTATATCATTCAGGGCTTTTAAAATTTAGTACAATTTCTACTTCTCTCTTAACTTTACCTGTGGTCAGTGAATTGATGAAACGTGGTCAGCTGTCCTATAGAAAAGTTTACTTAGTGATTTTTCTGATTTCATCTTAGTGACTTCTTTTAATTTGTTCTTCCATCCCCCATACTTGGATAAACTAGAAGTTGGATCTAAAGGATTGAAAATATTAAAAATGAAAATAATCAACAAGAATATTTCATAGATGAGACTTTGACAGAACTTCTCAGTATCCCAACCACACTGACTTAATAACTAACCTTATTTCATTCCATTCTTCAAATGGACTTCTTACTGCCATATTCAAAAGTAGTTTCTTTCCAGAAAAAAATAATCCTTCTGCCCATTAAGTCTTTGTTGTAATTAAACACTTAAGAGTGAGTAGTCAACCTCAATTAATTGATGCATGAAATACCAGAAGCAGAGTGGACCCTTTAATCTGTTTGGCCATGCATAAAGAAAACTGCGTTCTCCATGTCTGTCATAAACAATAAAGGACCAGCCAGATTGCACCTGCTGCCGTCACACTGCCCGGTTAGCAGTTACCCACATGCTGTAGACAGGTTTTAGTGACACAGACCTGCCATTTGGATCTTCGTTGTCCATCAAGGTTTACTTCCATCACTATTATTAAAGTCTAATGTTTTTTGGTTTTGGATAAACATCTACTACATATTATGTGGGAATAAAATAGATCATAAGGATACACAAAGGTAAAGGTTTGGTTTGCTTACAGACCTTGCTAGATCGCTTTTGCTCCCCTTATTTAAATAATTAATTCGCCATCTCATTTACTTTCACTCAGTGTAAAATTCTGTTAGGATCATTCTTTAGGGGCTTTATGGAAATGTATATCAGAGTGGAATTAGAGTGGAATTAATGTATCACGTTATCTGGGAAAGATAACATAAAACTTGCTGTCCTTCAACAAAGATGGTGGTCCTAGGGGCACCATGTGAAGAATGTTTTGATCTTGGGTGGACGTCTCTTCTGGGGAATATTGTGTGGGGCTTTGGACACTTGGGGGGCAGGTTGTGAAGACTTAGTCCATTGCAGGAGTGGGGGAACTTCGAAAGGAGAATGTGAGATCTGAT